AGACAGACAGAAAGACAGACAGACAAAATATATTAAATCAATAGTAAATAAAGACATTCCAGCATAGCTAAACTCAACCCAAGGCAACACCTAACATCGGATGTTCTTGCTTGACCCTTGCACCCAATGCATTCACACAACCACTCCACTTGAAGCTTACCCGAGACTTTCGGAATCAAACACCCGGTTCAGGTCACAGTCTATATATCGGCAGCATTTTTCCACAGCTCGTGGGTTGGCCAGGAAAGGCCGTACCTGCACCCCGGCTCTTTCAATCTCTGCTCCGTCTTCCAGCCAGGATTTGACCAGGAACACCCCGGACAGCTCATTGCCGTGCGTGCCGCCAAAGATGGCAATTTTTCGGACGGGGGCATCTTGCAGAATTTGGCCGGGATTCATCCCGCTGGTCGGCTGCCACCAGCCCAGAAGCCCAGGCAGGAAATTATTCAAAGAAAAAAAGACATTTTCACGGCTAGAGGACTTTGGTCTGCCCGGACGGGGGCCGGGAAGTGAAAAACTAAACAACTCTTTTCAGCTCGTAGAGTTTTTACGCCACACCCTCTTGCTATATTTGGAGAGTTACGTCTCGAAGCAAACTTGGAGAGAAGCAACTGGAGGTTTTGCTTTTTTTTTTTTTCTTTCTTCCCCTTTAGACTCCAGGAGGAAAGAAAAATCTTCCCCGTTTTATTTCAGGAGTTCGGATGCAAATAATATCAGGGAGCTGAAAAGACGGCGCAGCTAAAAGAATGAGAAGCAGGCCTCAGTTTACGAGCAGAATTTCCATGGGTTAAACAAGGCAGTCATTAAGTATAATATAATAAAGTTGGAAGGGACCTTGGAGGTCATCTAGTCCAACCCCCCTGCTCAGCCAGGAAACCCTACACCGTTTCAGACAAATGGCTGTCCAGTCTCTTCTTAAAAACATCCAGTGTTGGAGCATTCACCACTTCTGGTGGCAGGTTGTTCCACTGGTTAATTGTTCTAACAGTCAGGAAATTTCTCCTTAGTTCTAGGTTGCTTCTCTCCTTGATTATAATAATAATAATAAATAAAGTTGGAAGGGATCTTGGAGGTCATCTAGTTCAACCCCCCTGCTCAGGCAGGAAACCCTACACCATTTCGGACAAAGGGCTGTCCAGTCTCTTGTTAAAAACATCCAGTGATGGAGCATTCACCGCTTCTGGTGGCAGGTTGTTCCACTGGTTAATTGTTCTAACAGTCAGGAAATTTCTCCTTAGTTCTAGGTTGCTTCTCTCCTTGATTATAATAATAATAATAATAATAAATAAAGTTGGAAGGGATCTTGGAGATCATCTAGTCCAACCCCCCCTGCTCAGGCAGGAAACCCCACACCGTTTCGGACAAAGGGCTGTCCAGTCTCTTCTTAAAAACATCCAGTGTTGGAGCATTCACCGCTTCTGGAGGCACTCAGTTTAATGACCAGGGTTGTTAAGCGATTCGTGGCGGTCGTGGTGGCAGCCTGACGATCGCGGGATCGAAATTCGGGCGCTAGACAATTAGCGTGTATGGTATTGACGAGGTTTGCCCCGTCACGGGGTCATGGGATTGCCACGTGTGGCCTTCCCAGCCAGCTTCTGACAAGCAAAAGCAATGAGGGAAGCTAGATTCGCTGAATGACCATGTGGTTCAATTAGCATGGCGGTGATTCACTTAACAACCGTGGCAAAAAAGTCATAAAATTGGGCACGACTTACTGAACAACCACCTTGCTTAAGAACAGAAAACCGGCTCCCAATTGTGGTCACACCTTGGGGACAATCTTTATCTATCTATCAACTCTGTCGGCCTGTCTGATCTATTTATTTATCATCTATAATTTATCTATCTATCCATCCATCAGCTATCCATCATCTGCTTGTTTATCTGTCTGTCTGTCTATCTATCTATCTATCTATCTATCTATCTATCTATCTATCTATCTATCTATCTATCTATCTATCTATCTATCTATCTATCTATCTATCTATCTATATCTACCCTCTCTCTCTTTCTCTCTCCATCTACTATTTATTTATCTATCAATATCTATTTATCTTATCATCTATCAATCTGTCATCTTTCTATTATCTATCTATCTATCTATCTATCTATCTATCTATCTATCTATCTATCTATCTATCTATCTATCCATCTACTACATTTATCTATCCATATCTATCATCTGTCATCTGTCATCTTTCTGTCCTTTATCCTTTATCCTTTATCCTTTATCCTTTGTCTGTCTGTCTGTCTGTCTGTCTGTCTGTCTGTCTGTCTATCTATCTTACCCTCTCTCTCTCTCTATCCATCTACTACTTCTTTATCTATCCATATCTATTTATCTATCTATCATTTATCAGTCTGTCATCTTTCTATCCTTTATCATTTATTTATCTTTCTATCATCTATCTATCTATCTCAATCTATCATCAATGACAGGGGTCCTCAACCTCCGGTCTGTGGACCAGTACCGGGCTGCGGCATGTCAGCAACTGGTCCGCACAAACAAGCAAAGCCCCATCCGTGGGATGCAGGCAGTACACAAAACCACGCACACTCCGGTCCACGGAAAAACCTCTCTCCACGGAACCGGTCCCTGGTGGTGCCCCAAAGGCTGGGGACCTCTGATCTATGATGATAAAAATGAGCACAAAAGAGCTTTCTCTCACTTTGCAATTTGACTTTGCACAATCACGAGGGAGCTAATTGGGTCCAGAGGTCTAGAGAAATATGCTGCCACACTAATAATGTGTCATGTGTGTGTGCTTGTGTGTGTCAGAGAGAGACCGAGAGAGAGATTGAAGACTTTGTGCCAAAGCCACCCCTTAAAAATGAAGCCAAAAAGCACCTAAGTTTCACCTGTGACTTTCCCCACGACTTTGGGGTGATGACAACCAAGCACCCCCAATCCCAGCCCTGGCGGGCAAAAATACACACAGATTGCAAGCTAAAGTGGGCCTGATTGCACAATTCACGTTTGTTTTTTTCCTCCTGGAGTCAAACTCTGTTGCTTGCTGTGCCCTCTAGCCCCGAGGACAAGGGAAACACACAACTCAGCAAAAAAAGGAGAGGGGAAACAATTCTTCCATTGTTTTTGCCCGATTGCCCGGGGATCGCACAAATAACTTGCATATTTTTCAACTGCGGGGAAAGAGTGAATAGTTGAAAGTTTTGTTTTCCCTCTCTTCGCAGTATGGAGCGGGGACTTTTTTTAAAAAATAAATAAAATAAAATTGAGCATCCTGCGCGTGGCATTGAAGGCATAAAATGAAAACTTCCTGACAGTTAGAACAATTAACCAGTGGAACAACCTGCCTCCAGAAGTGGCGAATGCTCCAACACTGGAAGTTTTTAAGAAGAGACTGGATGGCCATTTGTCCGAAATGGTATAGGGTTTCCTGCCTGAGCAGGGGGTTGGACTAGATGACCTCCAAGGTCCCTTCCAACTTTATTATTATTATTATTATTAAAAGGCTGAGCTAAGGATTGTTCTCTAGGAATCTCCTTTATAAAATAAAACAGTCCTTTTAGTTGAGCTTGACCGCTGGTAACTTCAAGGTCACCACCCTGTGGGGGAGGTTTTCGGCCACGTATTACAAGTACAGTTAGTCCTCGACTAACAACAGTTCATTTAGTGACCGTTCAAAGTTACGACAGCCCTGAAAAAAAGTGAATTATAACCATTTTTTTTACATTTACGAACTGCATTGACAGTTGCAGCATCCCCGTGTTCAGGTGATCAAAATTCAGACGCCTGGCAACTGACTCGTATTTATGATGGCTGCAGCATCCCCGTGGTCACATGATTTACATTGGGACGCTTGGCAACTGACTCATATTTATGACGGTCGCAGTGTCCCGGGGTCAGCTGATCCCCTTTGGCCACTTTCTGACAAGCAAAGTCAATGGGGAAGCCGAATTCACTTAACGACCGAGTGACTAACTTAACAATGGCAGTGATTCACTTAACAACGGTGGCAAGAAAAGTTGTAAAGTGGGGCAAAGTTCATTTAACAAATGTCTCGCTTACCGACATAAATTTTGGGCTCAATTGAGGTTGTACGTTGAGGATTATCTGTATTTATGACGGTCGCAGTGTCCCGGGATCATGTGATCCCCTTTGGTGACCTTCAGACAAGCAAAGTCAATGGGGAAGCCAGACTCACATAATAATAATAATAATAATAATAATAATAATAATAATAATAATAATAATAATAATAATAATAATAATAATAATAATAATAATAATAATATCCTGCGACGATATCTGTAATACCATCAAACATCCACATCTGCCTATCCCAGGTCCTTGGGAAGGACTCGATAGGTAGACAAAAATGCCAAATCCAGTCTGAACATCTGGCTGACTGTGCAATGATCAATAATCATCATCATCATCATCATCATCATCATCATCATCATCATCGTACAGCTGATTGATATTGCTGTACCAGGAGATGCCAGAGTCGAAGAAAAAGAACTGGAAAAAATGACAAAATATCGCGACCTGGCCATCGAAACTGCGCGATTATGGATGAAACGTATAACAGTGATGCCCATTGTCATCGGGGCACTGGGAACTATATCCCAAAACTTTGCAAAATACATCAAGAAACTGCAGCTTCCTGCAATAATTCCAACAATGCTACAAAAAACTGCACTACTCGGAACATCTTATATTTTAAGGAGGTACCTGGTTGACACCTAGGATGCTGGTAGCAACCCGTGTCAACCATCAGCACCAGTCAGTTTGAATGTTCAGTTGATTGAGTTTCACATCTAAATAGTAATAATGATGATGATGATGATGATGATGATGGTGGTGGTAGTGGGGGTGGGGGTGGGGGTGGGGGTGATGATGATGATGGAAGGAAACTTGGATGTTCCTAGTCCAACACCCTGCTTAGGCAGGAAACCCTATATCATTTCAGACAAGTGGTTGTCCAGTTTCTTCTTAAAACCTTCAGTGTTGGAGCATTCATAACTTCTGGTGGCAAGCTGTTCCACTGGTTAATTGTTCTCACTGTCAGGAAATTAATTCCAGGTTGCTTCTCTCCTTGATTAGTTTCCATCCATTGCTTCTTGTCCTGCCTTCAGGCGCTTTGGAGAATAGGTTGACCCCCCCCCTTCTTTGTGGCAGCCCCTGAGATATTGGAACTTAACAAGCATGTTGTTAACTTCACCAGTGCAGTGATTCGCTTAACAACTATTGCAAGAAAGGTTGTAAAATGGGGCAAAGCTCACTTAACAACTGTCTTGTTTAAGAACAGAAATTTGGCACTCAGTTGTACTCATAACTCAACGACTACCTGTAGATTCCTATTGCTTTCTTTCAGGAGTGTGAAATGTTGTGCTTTTTAAAAGATGTTAAGTCTTATGGAATTCAATAATCTATC